TGACCTCTTGCCTGTTTTAGTTAGAGCTTTGTTGTTTTTCCTAGGAGTTGCAAAGTAAACTGGAGCTTTTTTGTTTCGTGGGTTTGAACAAACAGCTGATAGGTTTTGCTTTAGGTTTGCCAAGGTTCACAATTTCAGCAGTTGAAGGTAGACATGGAGTATCTTTCATTGCTCACTGGATCCAGAGCCAGGAAGTCACTGGGGATTTGTAGTTTGTGGTAAGAATGGTAGCATTGCCACGGGGAAAATGTCTTGGCAAGATGACACATAGCTGTGATGCAGCAGTTAAGTTCCTTTGTTTTGGCTTTGAAAATTAATTTGCAGACATATTCAAGTCTATTGTGTGTTCTAGCTTGTATGTAAATTAGAAAATTGTATGGAAAAAAATGCCAGGGATGGTAGAATTCAAACATTTTCAAACCAGTTGTCTATAAATTAGTTAAAATGATTTTGACTCAATTTTGCTTTATTGATTTATTTTCTTCTCAACAATATGTTATATCCATCAAACTAGGAAAAGGTATAGCACTAGCAGGTAGGCCATAATAACTGGTGCTTTCAGAAATGGAAAGTTAAAAAAATCTGATTTATTGTAATACCCCTGGAAAGGAAGAGAAAAAGAATTCTACACTGATTTCTCAAAAGTTGGAAACAGAATGAGTGTCATCTCTTTCTATAACCACCCTGTCTGCTCCCAAAGGGGACATAGGAAGTCTATAAACCTGAAGGATGACCCCATGGAGGGTGGTTAAGTATCAGAGCACTGGGATAACTGAGAGTGCTGCAGAAACCCGGAGGGAAAGTTCTCACTCTAAATCGTGCAGCCTTTGTTCCTGTATGCATCCCTGTCCTGCACATAAAGTCAGCCAGCTCACTCTCCACACCAGTGAGCACACACACTACATGCCCTCTGTCTCACAGCCTTCATCCTAAGGCATTTGTCACAACTCTGAATTACGTTACATTTGCAAATCTGTTCTAGACCCATTTGGTACTTGAAGGCCATGGACTAACTTTCAACACTTTAATTCTTGCCCTAACACTTAACACTGTTTCTTCCAGCACTGACTTCTCCAATGATGTGGGCTAAAACTTCATTTAATCTAACCAGCTGCATTATACTGTCCCTAGAACAAGTCTGAGAACAGTATTTCCCATCAGGCCTCCTTGGGGACCTGCAGATGCAACCCCAGCACTTTCTTCCTGGCCTGTATTGAGGCCTCTTTCCCTCCCAGACACTTCTGTCTGCTTTATCCCATCTCTGTGTAGACATTTTAAAATCCTACCTTTATTTAAGACAGTTGACTTTGAAAGCAGCTCGACTTGAACCTCTGTAACTTGAAATTTATTTTAACTTCAAAATTTATTTTGCTTGTCACTCGTAATTTACCAAAAGAAAAAGAGCAGCAGAAAGCTCACAGGATCATGGCAGTAACGAAATTCCCTGGCTATGCCCATCTGCTCATGGACAAAGTCTTGAGATCTGAGATCTTGTCTTTGCTCTGTTCTTCCTCACTTCTGCCTTGATGTGTGGCTATGAGTTGAAGACTCTATGCCCTGATGTTCTCCTTAATTCCATGTATGCGTTTAGATCAGATGATCTCCAAAATAGCTTCTAGCTATAAAATAAACCAAACCAAACCAAACAAAAACAAAAACCTATTGAGTTACTGCTGATTTAAAAATCAGCAAATCATTGGTGAGTTGGTTTAGATGCTCCTTCAGGAGTGGACCCAATGAGGGACACAACCGAGCAGAATGGAGTGTTTCTTGGTTATGCTCTAATTTCTGAGCAGGTGGCTACTGTCAGAGACATAAGACTTGATAGTGAAGTGGGGATATAAAATCCTGAAACTGTTTGTCATAAAGAACCCCATGCCCAATAAAAGCAAAGGCAGATGTTCACATAAAGTTTTTGCTGTTTGTGTTTTTGTGGGGGCATTTTTTGGAGATGAAGTTTATTAGTAAGGCACAGCAGTATCTGCCCATCCACACTGCCACATAATGGCGGTCTTACAACCCATTTATGGGGTTGGGATTATTTTTGTTAATGATTTTCATGGCGGTAGATGAAATGCAATGTGCACCAGCTGTAACTATGTTTACCATGCAGCTGCCTTCCAGGGAAGCCCCCAAATCTCAGACATCGTAGACATCTAGATTGTCAAAGAGGTTCTGTCTCACAGGGTTATAAAGATTAAAAAGGAGCCAACTCAGGTTTTAATATTGCTGTAACATCATCACAGGGTGGCTGAATACAGCACAGACTTATGACCTACAGTTCTGGAGGCCAGAAATCCCAAATGATTCTAACACAGTCAAAATCACAGTAAACTTGGGTTCTCTCTGGAGGCTGAATGTTAAGAAGCTAATGTGTTGCCTGCTCCAGCTTCCACAGGCCACCTACATTCCTTGGCTTGTGCCCTTCCCTCACTCTGCAAAGCCAGCAGACTTATCTTCTCTACCTTTCCTATTTTTTCCATCTTTGTATATTTTCAATATATCCCTGACCCTCCTATTTCCTTCTTATAAGCACTCTTAGGATTACATTGGTTCCACCCATATAAGTTCCCCATCTGGGGATCTTTAACTTAGTTACAATCTGCAAATTACCTTGTATAATGTGTGGTCATCAGCTTCCCATTACTGCCACAAATACCCAAGATAATTAACTTAGAAAACAGAAAGGTTTATTTTGATTCACAGTTTCAGAGGTCTCAGTCCATATTTGGCTGACCCAGTTGCTCTTGTCAGCACATCATGGCAAGAACCTGGGGCAGAGGAAGCTGCTCATCTGCTCATGCTACAGTGGCTGGGAAGTAAAGAAGAAGAAAATGAATAGAGTACAAAAATGGCCTCCAAAGCCATACCCTTTGTGATCTAAAGCCTCCCAACGGGACCCACTTCTCAAAGCTTTCCACCACTTTCCAGTAGTACCAAAACAGGCCTTTGTGACACATTCTAGATGCAAACTATACAGTAAGATATCATATAAATAGTATGTGGTATCTTCAGAAGGGAGCCACTCATTAGTCAGCCTTCCACAGAAGCCATAGAGACAAACCCAGATCCAAGGGATGCATGACTCACCAGAGATCTCACCGCTACCTGTGGCAGTGCTGTGACTGCCTCCCTGGTATCCTTGCACAGGCCACTTTTCCATGCATCGCTGGCAAAGATAGATTGAAGAGTGTTCTGAAGGAGGCTTTAATAATGAACTTGAATTTATTGAGGAACTAGTACAAGATTAAGCCAATGATTAAAGAAAAGATCAGCAGAGGAAATACAGAAGTTTGTCTTTTTAAAAGTGTGTTTTTCATGCAAGAACGTTCTTAAATGTTATACCTTTTCTAGGACAGTCCTCTGTTAAGATGTTATTTGCAGGGATAGTACAATTGAAACAAGAAATGAGACCACTAAGGAAGCACGTGTACATTTATAGCAGTTCTTGCATCTACTACTTCTTTTGCTCCTCCTTCTCCTCCTTCCCTTTGTCCCTCTGTAACTCTGGTCATTCGTGCCGGTTTGGAAATCACTAGTGGCTACAAAGCTGATTCAGGCTCCTTGCTTCAAGTATAGGGAATGCAGCCCTCAGACGTTTATTCCCATGAATTAAACCTAATTCAGTATTTACCTTATTTCACAAAGAATTCAATCTTATGTCAGTACTGAAGATTTGTCTTGGAATCTAAGGAACTTGAGTTTAGTTTTCTCACTTCTACCCAGGGCTGACAGTAGCACAGAAGAGGATCATGACTCTTGTATTGAGATGTGTGTAGACATACTGTCTATGCCAATTCTTCTCCCAAATGATGGAACTTATGTTTGCTAGATATTTTCAAAGGTCCCTCTTGTACCTTTTCTCTGACTATGTGATAGGCAGGAACAATAGCTGCTGAAAGTTAGAGGCTGCATTAAATTCAAGTTTTTGAGAGGCCAGGTACATGTGAGAGAATTGTAACATGTTTCCTATGCTCATTATGTCAGGAATCACCCCTGGCCTTACCTATAGTGTCACAATGTACTCAGCTCCCTGGTCTATTTGTTGTCCTGTGCCTACCTGGCTATCTCATGATTCAACCTGATTCAGGGCTGGACATGGGATAGCAGTTCACTTTACATACTGTGAATGGATGAGTGAATGAATGGCTATATAATCTCAAGGGCATGTGGAAGCTGCATGGATCCTGTGTCACAACAGAAGTGTTGAGAGAGGCAGTTAAAGGCTGAAGGTATAGTTTCCTCCCTGATATACAAGTTAGTAGGCTGGCACTCTGAACAGCCCTGCTAGCTTTCTTAGAAGAAAATGGGACTAGACATTACATAAGATTTATCCTAATAGATGTTTTAATGTGATGCTGGACAGAGCAGACAGCTTTCCTTTGGATATTTGCACGCAGCACTCGATGTCATTGTCATTTTTTTCTGCCTATCAAATGATCACGTTCCTTAGCTGCCGGAACATTAGGTTAATGACACAGTGCTGATCCAAACAAAGACAAAGTCAAATGGCCAAGCTCCTGTCTAGCATTGATTGGGGGTCATAAAAATAATTCACTCCCTCAGCTTGGTCTTGACAACCCACAGAAAAACACCTTGTGTATGCCGAAAGACACTCTCTTTGAAAAACATCAAATGCCTTCTAGATTAGACAAGGTTGATTCTCACATCATTCCTGCCAAGAAGGAAAATGGAGCATTCGTCCTGAAATTACTAAATATTTTGTGTATCTTGGAAACGTTGCAGTGTTGGCATGGCTTGAAAGATGATGTTAGCACTAAAGTATTAAAGCTAACTGTACTCAATGAAGAAGCCACAGGATGAATGGGGCAGTAACAAGAAAACCTGACCTCAAGAGATCATGAATATAGGTCTTAGAGAAATTGACCTAGATTCAGGCCAGGAAAATACCATAAAAACCCCCAGGGATCTCCATCATTGTGAACATTTTAGGATTAATTCTATAGCAGCCTAATTCTAAACCTTCTTTTTGTTTTTAGTTCCTTCTTTCTGGGGACTGGTGAACTCAGCTTGGAATCTTTGCTCTGTGGGGAAACGGCAGTCTCCAGTCAACATAGAGACGAGTCACATGATCTTCGACCCCTTCCTCACGCCCCTTCGCATCAACACTGGGGGCAGGAAGGTAAGCCAGCAAGTTGGTTCAGTTGTGAAGTCGAAGACTGGTGTCAGTGCTGATTCTGAAAGCTGACCCTTCAGGTCTCAGTCTGGCATGTGTTTGTTGCTCCACCTAAAAATACTCAAGACTCAGGCCCACTGCGAACAAAAATAATTATGTCCAAGTTGTGCTTTTTCTCCCTACTCAGTCAAGCTCTCGTGCTTCTAATTATTGTGTACCCCAAAGAGGTTGCCTGAGGTCCCATCCCTTGGTATCTCATGAAGGTCTGAAAACATAGTTGTTTCTCTTGCATATTATGCTGGAAAATCTTTCCTCAAAGACTCTTTATTGGGCCTCCTTTTAACCTCAGTACAGGGGGGAAATTTTTTTTAAAAAGTAAAATCAGATGTTTATCATCCTGGGAGGAAAAATAAACAACAATCGCCTTAGATGATTTATAGGAAAATCAATAATTAATCTTCCTAGGGGTATCTTGCTAGCTAAGGATCTTTGCTCTGGCAAAGAAATGCTGAGGTGTGCTCTGTGCTTCTCACACTTGAATCCCTCTTGCCCTCTCTTGTCCCCGTGAAGAACTCCTCCTTAATTTGTGGAAGAGCGTGGTGTACTCACAGATTCTTCTCTTCACTGGGATCTAGCTTTGCTCCTGCTGGCTTATTTCTCTTTGCCTGTCATTTATTGTCAAGATGCAGGAAATCCTACACACAGAGAAAATTGTGTCTGTGGGTGATTCAGTTATTGTGAACTCAAGAGGGATAAGAAATCATCTGTGTGCAAACAAGGGTAAAATTATAAACAGCTTTTGTTACTGCTAGAGGCTGATTTTCCAAGGCTTGAGCTCGGTGGTCTCTACTCACCCTCTTGTGTGATCTATTCACCATCTTTAACAAGGACCTGCTAAATTATATTTTCCCCTTTTCAGTATATTAGAGTGTGCTTTCTACCACATAATGGTCATACCCAGTACACACAAACCTAATGTCTCACCAAACAGTGTTAGTGAGTTTGACTTGTGTCATAAGGCCTGTTTTAAAAGACATTGCCTGGGACATTGAGACTATTTGGCTGTGGCTCATTTGCATGCTGTTTTAACTATGACTTGAGAAGCACTTTTTTTTTTGTAGAAAGGTCCTATGTAGGTCATTTGGTTAAGTGGTCTGATTCTGCAGAAAACCAAGCTACTCTAATTTTTGTTCCATTTGCAATTTCTTTATAACCTAAAAGAAACTTGATGTTGCTTCTGTATGCACCTCCCTCCAAAACAATGCATGGTTTTCAGTCAGGAACATGTGTGAGCTTCCTGGTAGGAATTTAAGAAGGGAAAGATGGGGCACTGACTAAATGTTCAGTCATCTTTTCTCTCTTGGGGAGGATGATGGAAGATAATTGCATTCTAGGTAAAGGGGAAAGCAATAAAAGTGAATCAGTAGCCCAAGACAGAATGGAATTTGATGCCTGAATTCCAGAAATTACCTAGAGGCTGACCAAAAAGGCTAAATCTCAAAGACCAAAGAGAGGGGTGCTTGCAAATGGCTAGTGGGGGTCAGGGAGGTAGAGAAGATGGCAGAGGGCAGATCCTGAGGCCCTGGTAAGGATCTGGGTTCTTTCCTAAATGTTATAGCATGCACCTCAAAGTTCTGGGGGTAGTGTATACATAGGAGTGGAATAGGAAAGACAGTAAGCAAACAGAAATGGAGGATTTATATTCCACCTTCATTACATCTTAGAAGAAAATGTTGATGTGAATGAAAGAAACACATCACAGATAGCTTCTCCCTAAAATTACTGGGGAGAAGGCTGAGTGATAGCCTGGTGTTAAAAGTCCCTCGCATGTTATAACATTTGTTACTGTTGTATTGAGTCTTTTTCTATTTTTTGGACGAGTGGATTTTTTTATGTTTCCAATTTAGTAGTGTATGCCAGATCCAAATCAATTTTCAGATGCACTGGAGTTTGGGATTTTGGAAGCATTTATTTTTGACGATGTAAATATTTATATCTGGCATGATGTGTGTTGTCAGCAGTTTGAAGAGCTGAGAACTGGCTGAGGTACCCTTTGCATTTATGAAAATTGGAAAATAAAATATAGACACTAGCAGGATAAACTACCTGGTAATGAAATGCCTCAAGATGATAGACTATAGTTAAACCACGTTTGCAAGCTTTTTAAAAAAATGATATTTGATGAGTTGGAGACTTGTTAGAGGCAAGGATTCAAAATATTGCTCTAAATTTACCTACTTGCTTTAGAGAAATAGCCAACTGAAAGTCTGAACCACCACTCTGAGGGTCTGTAGAATTTGGGCAAGATGCCACATTTTGAAGTTGGAGATCATCTGAATGTTGGGAGGCTAAACACACTCCAGTAACAATGTGTTTTATGCCACATTTTTGCCCATAAGCATTATTACTTCTAGCATTTAAAAATATCCTGTGCACAAAACCCTGAACCAGCTTTGCCGGAGCCCCTGACTTGGGTTACCGCATTTGTTTTAGTACCTTTGACCTGGCATGTGGCTCAGACGATGGAATAAAGATTTTCTTAACATTGGCTATGGCTGAAATTCAACCTCGATATAAGAATACCAGGAGTACTAGTCTATGAGACTCTAAATGTACTGTGACTGGGATATAAGAGAGAATTTTTAAATTAAAAATAAGATTCTTTTTAGCCTTATAATTTGCTTGTTTTCAGCAGTAGTTCTTAAGCTGTTTATTTTTTTTCTTGAAGAGAAATAAGTTTTACTTAACTGTCTGTATCTGACACATAGGATTCTAAAGATGAAATTCAGAATGACTGTAGTTTTCTAAATGGCCCTCCATTAAGGTTGGTTGCATGTGAGTATAAGCATCCTACCTTGGAACCAATCTCCACCCTTGACCCCCTTAAACTTAATTTCTGTATGCTACATGATTTATACCTAATTAATCTGTTCTTTAAAAAAGCTACTAAATCAACCCAAGGTAAAAAAAAAAAATGACTGACAGACTTTTAAGGACATCCAATACCAATTTGGGGGTTGAACGCCTCAAGGTTTAGAACCTCTGGAGAGAAGGCAGGTGGTAGAAATAAATGACCTCAGCCTACTGGTATAGTTAGATATAACAAGCCAAAGAGGAGACTGACCTCCAGCAACCCATACATTTGTCTCAGTTATCTCAAAGAAGCAGCCATTCCCCATCACCTGTTCCAAGTTTTTTGCCTTCCTTAAATTTGAGCTGAATGAAGGCCAGGAACACAGCGCTCAGAGAAGGGCCTTACGGTACCTACCCACTGTTGTCATCACTTTGCTTTCTGATTACTCAGCAGGAGATACAAAACATGTACATTGACTGAGTCACTGGAATTTTAATAGATGGATCCTTGATAGCCACCCTGGTCATGAGGGGTGAAGGGGAGGAAGTCGCCCCCAGAACCTGGATAGAGACAGCTACAGAAAGGAACATCTGACCTTCAGCAAGGGAAGCAGGCAGGTCAATGCAACCCATAGGAGAGAAGCTGAGGAATAAAGATCCCAACACTATCCCTTCCCTCTCCTCTCCTGGCAGTCTCCCTTCACAAAGAAGTCAGGCACAGGAAGCCTGTGGAATCTGATTCAGCCTGCATAAGCCAGCCCCCAACCACAGAGGTGACGGGACAAATGAAAGACATAGGGCACAAAACCACAGATGTATCCCAATGACCATTTCCAAGTATCTGACAAAATAAATATAACGTAGCGAAACTCATCATTACCTCTAAGATTGGGTACAAACTCATTAACCTGGTGTTCACAGCTTTTGCAGTACAGCCCCAAATCTCCTCTGCAGAAATTATTTCATTTATACTTTGTGTAACGTTGGTGCCCAGAGAGACTGGAAAAAATGAATATATTTCTCCTTGACCTCAAATCTATGCTTTAGCCACAATGTATCCTGCACCTGTGCCTTGGGGTTCCCTGTCCTACCTTCACATTACTGACTCTCTGTGGTTTGAATATTTCTGCTTCCATGAATCTCCCTTTGGTTTCTTTGGCTAAGTCCTTCATTTAGCTTTACTTGGCTTGTTTGTTTGTTTGTTTCTTTGCTTATTAATTTTTGTGTTTAAGACTGGGTCTCACTATGTAGTTCAGGCTAGCCCAGAACTCTCCATATAGCTCGGGATGGGTTGAACCTGTGTTCCTCCTGCCCCAGTCTTGGGTACTGGAATTACAGGTGTGCGCCATCATGCCTGGTTTCATTTGGCTTCTTAAATTCCTTATTAGGGTTTCTTTCAGTACTTGAGCTGTGGTCCTCATATATTAGCCCTTAGACTAAGAGCTCCTCAAGATAAATGTGATTTTATATTTTCATTTTATACCTGTGATGTTATCTGATACTGCTGGGTGACTGGAAGTGAACCTAGATTACCCTCAATAATCAAAATTATGTGGAATTAGTCAAAAATCACTATAATTTAAAGTGGAGAAAATGTGGGATGTCACCAGAATAAATAGTGACTTGGCTATCATCAAAATGCAACACTAAAGCTAATCTTCAGGTGTTGCCCTTGTCATAAAATATTGAAATAAGTTGAAAAAAAGCAATGTGAATTGGTTTTGTGTTGAAAATTGTGTCATGTCTCTATTTTTATAGTTTCCAATGAATCTCATAGCAACATTCAGTTGACCATAATTAATTATTGCTATTCGTGGCATGTTTACATTGTGATGTTCTGAGATCTTTTATGTGTGAGACACTTCTGTTCCTCCAAGAAGCTTATGATATATGATATATTTAGGGAGAAGATATAGATACAGAGACATTAAATGGCAGTGACTGATTAACTATTTGAGATAACAGTGGACTGGATATTAAAGAAGCTGTGAAATGATTAATTAGCAAGTCATTCATTTTGACATTAATTTTTAATGGTAATAAGAAATTGGGTTGGATGAAGGAAGGTTTTATAGAGGTGGTAAGATATTAACCAGTATGACGAGGTAGGCAGTGTGAAATACTGCTTTTAGCAGGATCTTCAAATGTCTAAT